TGGCATGTGGTGCTGGGGGATTGAACCGCGGTCCCTGTGCTTTGCTAAGCTTGTTCTAAGTAGGTGCTTTAGACCACTGAGCCATCTCACCAGCCCCCTAGATTGACTTTAATCCCTTGGAAATCTAATAAAATCCATTATAAATGAGAAAATCATTTCTAATGCATGGCATTAATAACATGGTAACCATGGGCAGAGAGTACTGAAAGCCTCTTCATTTAATTTAAACTGCTATGTGGTAAGGAAAATCATGCTTCCAGTTACACTATTTACTCCCTGAAAAATTTCTCGTGTTATATGCTGAAAACCTTGAAGCTTACTGCTTTATATCAATAAATATAATGCTGCATGTTTTATGCAACCACATTTTACATGAGTTTGAAATAGCAGGACATGAAAGTATCAACAACGTCTTGTTTTAACATCAATATATGAAATAATCTCTGGCATGAAATATGTAGGAAACGAATGACTTTAAAGATCATGTTGTTACATGCACTGGAATGTCTATAACTTTTGTGACTCTCATGCTATTATTATTATTTTTTAAATTAATTAAATTTACTGGTATATTTTAGGTATACATAATGGTTACATTCAATGTAAGGAATTTGTACCAGTACATGATATATCTTGATTCTTATTTCCCCCATTTCCGTTCCTTCCCTTACACTCCTCCTCCTTTCCTGATTTACAAAAGATCTTCAGCTATTATTTTGATGTTATTTTAACCTATTTTCTTATTATATAAGAAAGTCATATTCACATGTATTAAATGGGATGCCAGTTCTTAAGCTGAAAAATACACTGAAAACCAGTCATTTTATAAAATAGACTAGAATTAATACAACATGAGTAGAGTCAGATAACACAATGGTAAACTGTGCTCCTACTTAGACCCCAAATACCATAAGATAATAGAGATAATGTTGAAAAAAGAAGCAATGGTATTTATAAAGAGACACCTCTTGTAAAAACAGGAGATGAATCATATCAGAATACAAGGGAAAAAATGCTGGAAAGGTGAATATCACCCTAAGGTGCTGTTAAAAATAAGTGGCACAAGCCTATACCCTCACCATTCAGGGGGCTGAGGCAGGAAGAATGTCATGAGTTCAAGACCAGCCTGAATTATGTAGTGAGACTATCTCAAAAAAGAAACCCAAAAAGTAAAATTCATAGGAATAAGAAAAATACACTTGGGCAGGCCAGATAGTTCAGTGGATTAAAGTGGCTCCATAGGCAGATGCAGGGGCCAGGGTTCCATCACTGCTCCACCATGCCTACCCTGCCCCCAGGGTGCACGGAGATGGCAAGTAAGACTGGGTGTGGTGCTGCATGCCTGTAATCCCAGCTCTTGGGAGGCTGAAAACACAAGAATCACTACAAGTCCAATCTGTGTAGTGAGACCCTGTAGAAACTGTACTAAGTACATTAAAAAGAAAAAGAAAAATACACTTCCAATTTTCCTTTATTTTTAGAAAGATATGTCTTTTAAAATTCTTTATCTGTGAAATTTATACATAATGATCATATTCATCATAAGGAATTTGTATTTGTACAAGATATATCTTGATTCTACCTTTTTCCTTTCTCTCCTGTCTTCAACCCCTCTTCTCATTTACAAATCTTTCTTTCCACTTTATCTGAAGATAATAGTTTTCATGTATACTAATCTTGAATTATATCAAGTGTTTCAGAAATATGGCTTTAAATAAAATGGGAGGGGGCCGGGGAGATGGCTCAGCAGAGTAAGCGCTTCCCTGGCAAGCGCAAGGACCTGAGTTTAATCCCTGGTTCCACCAAAATAAATAAATAAATAAATAAAAACAAAATAAAATGGGAGTACCCTATACATTCCGAATTTCAAGTAGTCATTTATTTTTAATTTTGTTTATTATTATTATTTTTTTTAAATTTTTATTTATTTATTTATTTATTTGAGAGAGAGAGAGAGAGTGTGGCCAGCTCAGCCCACCAGGGGGCAGGGCTGGCTGGCATGTGGTGCTGGGGGATTGAACCGCGGTCCCTGATGCTTTTGCTAAGCTTGTTCTAAGTAGGTGCTTTAGACCACTGAGCCATCTCTCCAGCCCAATTTTGTTTATTATTATCATTATTATTTTCACCTATTTAGTACAGAGTCTACAGGGTCTTACTACATAGATTGGACTCATAGTCTCACAAGCGCTGGGATTACAGGTGTGCACCATCATGCCCAGTCTCAACTGCTGTTTCAACACATGGTTATTTTAAATTTTAAATCATCCTGAACTCTCCTCTCTGTATTTCTCCCATTTATCACCTCCCTGCTATGAGTGTCTTTCCCCAACTCCCATCATGCTGTAATAATAGAATTGAAATCACGGCCTTTGTGCTGAGTTACAGCCCAGCCATTTTTAGTTTTTTTAATTTTTGAGACAATCTTACTAAATTCCCACACAGTGGGCTCAAGTCTATGATCCTTCTGCTTAAGCCTCCCAGAGTGCTGGGATTACAAGCGTGCACTACCACTCCTGGCTAAAGCTCTTCAAGAAGATACTCTCAAAGGTTGGAATACTCTATAGTATAAAACTTAGATTACTGGAAGTTTCATGGAAGTTTAAGATTCTTCAATACGAAGGAAGAGTTGACAGCACTCCATTTATAGTGAGAATTAGTGCATCCCAGAACTTAATCACTTTCATATTTTGTACAATGTACTACAATTAGCTAAGTGAAAGCAGATCTTTGGCATATACCAGGATGATGGCAAAGATATGCTTGATTATTTTTCCCTGACCTATATGATTTGGCTTAGACAATGACATAAACACATTTTAGACTACAGCAAAAAAGATCCCCTCTTATAAAGTGTGCCATTGCTTTCCCTAACGTATTCTCTGCTCCTTTGTCTCGTAACACCTGAATTTTAGCAGTGTCATCTGGATTAGTCTACTCTTCCCAGCTTCCCTCATAGGTAGATATGGCCAGGAGAGAAACTACAGGCAAGTGAGCTGTAGAGTGCCTTCCTCCTGTCCATTGCCTGGACTGCAGAGATGATAGAGTAGCTCTAGCAGCACTCTCAGGTAAAAGATACTTGCTTGAAGTGAAAAAGCAGAAAGTTAGAAGGGGCATGGGTCTTAAAGACCGTAGAAAGCCCATGCTTAATTTGAACTGTCTAATGGAGGACTGAAATTGTATTTAAATCACTTTTAATCTGAGTTTTCATTTACTTACGGCCTAACCTAGTTCTAAAGGACACACCAGGGCCACTCTACCACTAGTTCTAGGACAGAAGAGCCCCCACCTCAGACCATATGTTATCTCACAGATGCTAATGAAACACAAACAATAAGACCAAATTGGAGAAAATTCTATGCAAATCCAAAGTAATGAAAATGTATGACAATCAAGCTAACTGTACTCTTCATGGGAGTTCTTTGCTTGAAAAATTCATAAGATTTGAGTCAAGGATACTGAGGTTTCTTTCTATTGTACTTTCAAGCACTCTACAAAGTACAGTATTCACACTAGACAAGCAGATACAAAGTTAGTTCCAATCAAACAAAAAATTACAAATAACAGTTAAAAGTTTTTATTTATTACATCAATGACATTTTCTCTCAAGTTTAGACCTGAAATTTCTCACCTGGCCAGCCGCCTGAATGCTTAAGATAGCCACACGAGTGTCAGGATCCTTTTGAAACTGATTAACCAGATGTATCCTTTCTGAAGATGGAACACTTCCATCTATCCTAACATAACGAGTCTGGCATCAAAAAGAAAAATGGAAAATGAGGACAAATTTTTGTACACCCTTCTTGTTTTATATACTTCACATCTTATTTTTAGCCGTTACATTAAAAAATGAACCACTTAAGATGACAAGTTGGCAAATGTTACATAAGAAGAATGCTAACCAAGTATCTTAATAGCTCCTTATAACAGGGTTTTTAAAAATTCTTTTATTATTTTATTTAAAAGTATTTGGTACAGAGTCTCATTATGCAGCTTGGACTCGTAGTCATCCTATTTTCAGTCTCCCCCGTCCTGGGATTATGGGCGTGTACGACCATGCTCCATCTTGGTGGCTGGCTCACTGCACTCAGGGCCAGGGCCAGTGTGCCGGGGATTGAACCCCAGTCCCTGCGCTTGCCAGGCAGGCACTTAGTCCACTGACCAATCTTGCCAGCCCTAACAATTTATTGTTTTTTAATCAAATAGCTATGGGAAAAAAAGAGTTATGGAGAAGAGTTTATGTCTAATTCATTTTTTAAAAATTTTATTTTAAAGAGAAAATAAAACAAAATTTCAAAACAAAATAGAGTAACAATGCTTAATACATTGTGTATTGTTATCATAAAATCAGTTACTCAGAGTACAAGATATAGGCATTTAATTGGCCAACAATATTAGCACAAACCTTTCTTTTCAATGAACTAAGAGAAATGAGAAGTATAATGAGCTCACTATTTTGTATATAATCTGTTTTTTTTCCTTTCCTTTTTTCCTTTTGTTCAGTTCCCTTTCCTTTTGAACAGTTTCCTCCCATTTTACAATATCTGTTGTACATTTTAGATTTTATTTACTTTCAGCTTCTCATATTGGGGAGAAAATATGATGTTTACACATTTAAGTCTGATATATTTCACTGACAAGTATGGTCTCAAGTTGCAACCATTTACATGTACATAACACATCTTAAGTATTCCTTTATTCTCTCCTTCTATTCCCTACCCCTTCCCTTCCTCCCTGCTCCTTCCAACTCTTGCTCCCTTCTCATTTGCAAAAGCTCTATTTTCTTCTTTTACTTCTTTTTTCCCCACCCCTTTTTCCTCCCTTCTCTTCTCCCTCCATCTATTATTCCACCATCCATTTAAAAAAGATCTCCCTAAACTTTATTTATGTGGCTTCTATTTTAATTCCTCTCTCTCTCTCTCTCTCTCTCTCTCTCTCTCTCTCTCTCTCTCCATATATCTATTTCTAGATATATATATTCTCCATATATCTATATAACTATACACCTCTATCTATCTATCTATCTATCTACTCAAATATCTATCCACCCACCCATCCATCCATATATACATACTTTATTTTTTGGGAACAGGATCTTGTTATTTAGTTCAGGCTAACTTCGAACTCATCTTGTAGCCCAGGCTGGCCTTGAACTCACAGCAATTCTCCTGCCTCAACCTCCTGAGTGCTGGGACCACAGCATGCTCCACCATCCCCAACATTCAAATATGTTCTTTTTTAAAAAAAATTTATTTATTTATTTATTTATGTATGTATGTATGTATGTATGTGTGTGTGTGTGTGGCCAGCCCAGCCCACGGGGGGGGGGGGGCTGGCATGTGGTGCTGGGGGATTGAACCACGGTCCCTGTGCTTTGCTAAGCTTGTTCTAAGTATGTGTTTTAGACCACTGAGCCATCTCACCAGCCCCTCAAATATGTTCTTAATGTACTATGTCAGCTATTTTTTTTCACATTATTAACTTAAAAGAAATAAGTAACATGGTAATCTTCACTGAAGTGGGGAATTGAGACCACCACACACATTTTTAAATTGTAGAAACCATTTTTTTGTTTTGTTTTTTGGGTTTTTTTTTGTTGTTGTTGTTTTGGTTTTTTTGGTCTTTTTCAGACAGGGTTTCACTATGCAGTTCAAAAGAGTGGCTTTGATTCACTATGTTGCCCAGGTTGGCCTCAAACTCACATTGATTCTCCTGCCTCAGCCTCCTAAGTTCTAGGATTATAGGCATGTTGCACCATGCTCGACAAAACATTGTTAAACTGAATAATACTATTCTCCTTAAGAACAAATTGAGTTGTGAAAAGTGTATTAAAAATAGCTAAACAGAATTCACAATTCATTTTCATAAAACAAATATAAGCCCTAAATTTCAACTAGTCCCATTCAGATTTGTGCTTCTATGAAAGAGCCTTGTGTAGTTACAACACATGAATATTCAATTTTAAATGAGAATATTCAAATTTATTATCTAAGAGAATGTATCTTACTGGCTTTCTGTTTTTACAAAGCAAATATAAATTTACCAATGATTCTCTTAGTGTCTACTAAGGGAGACTATAAGACCTGGGAAGACTTCTCCGAAAAAAATACATGGTCAGAGTAGGAGCAATTTGATAAAAAGTCTCCTTATGATTCCCTCCCATCTCTAAGTACCTATATTTTTAACTCTTAACAAAGTTAAATGTATTTAAGTATATCAGTTACATGGATGTAGGAAAAAAAAAGATAGCTTGCTATGCTTGAAATAGAGAGTCTAATAGTTTGAAGATATAATAGGATCCAGATAAGAAAATAATATAATTCTAATTGTTTTGCTCAATCACTTAAAATTATTTCTAAGTTTAACTCTTCCTCAATGAGAAAAGCTTTTAGTCTAATGAAAGTACTTTATTACATTGTTCTCATAAATCCTATAAGGTAAACAATAGCATTAAACCTTTATTGAATATTAATATATTAGCAAAAGCTTAAAAATGCAAAGTTTTAAAAATATATATATGCAAAATTTTAAAAATCTACCTGTATTAGCAAAAAGCTTTCTTGCTACAGGTATATTAAGTTCAAACTGTTTGCCAGGAAATTTCTTTTTGCTGCTTTTTTAAAAAAAAGTTAAGTTTATTGGCACTATTTATTTATTTATTTATTTATTTATTTATTTATTACCAGCTCAGCCCACCCTGGGGGTAGGCCTGGCTTGGCTTGTTGTGCCAGGAATCCAACTGTGGTCCCTGCACTTGTCTAAGCTTGCCTAAGCAGACTCTTTAAACCACTGAGCTAGCTTGCTGGCCCCTTTCACTGCTTCTGAACATCCCTAGAAGCTCGCAGCATTTGAAGAGCATGATAAGACATACACCTAGGAAAAATGGAAGATCCTGTCACTAACAGAACTATTGGAAATCAAGGTAGACCTAAGAAAATGGAATAATGTCAGCTAATTTGGTAAGCTAACTTGATAAGCAATATAGGCTACATGCTTCAAATCCATCTATGCTAAATGATCATTATGTATAAAGTATACAGCCTGGATGTTTAAAAGGTATGACTGTACTTGGGTAGCATGTTTGCTGGATTCATTCTTCCCTTTATATCATACCACTGAAAGGCCACCATGAAGGTAAATAAAAATTTAACTTTGAATTGTGTTCGCAACTACATCACTCTCAATATATCCAGGAAGAAAACTAAAATTCGTAATAGAGGCCAGGGACATAGCTCAGTGGTCTAAGTGCCTGCCAAGCAAGTGCAAGGACCCAGGTTTGTTCCTTGGTATTGTGTCGGCCCCATGTGGTACTGGCCATTGAGACCAGGCATGGTGGTGCATGCCTTCGATCCCAGACAGGAGGATCACTAGGAGTCTCTGTACTGTAGTGAGACCCTGTACCAAATAAAGGAATAAATAAATCTTTTTAAAAAATTCACATGATAACTACAAGGGCAGCAAATCATTAATCAATTCAGCTAAATTAATCAGAAGAAAATATTAAGATTAGCAACAAAGAAAAAATAGCATATCATAATATATTAACATAACTTATATGAAACATTTTAATAAGTTATAAAATAACAAATTTTGTCAAAATCACCTAAAGACAAAAACACATTCAATATGAAGTTATACATAATATTTAGAACAGTAAAAATTTGCATTCTAAAAATTGTTTCATAGGAAAATGCCAACATACCTTGCTTTCAATTACAGCTTCTGTGCAAGCTTGAAGCATGCTTAAGTGGTGAGCAAACACCAGAAATTTAAGTGAGTCATTCTGAAGCATCATCTTAATATAATCCTTTACTGCACCTGCCTAAATATTAAAAGTTAAAGTTTATTAATATCATAAATTTTTTATTAAAAACATGTCACTTTTGGGGGCTGGGGAGATGGCTCAGCAGAATAAGTGTTTCCCTGGCAAGTGCAAGGGCCTGAGTTCAATCCTCGATTCCACCAAAAAAAATCAAGGCCTGGGGAGATAGCTCAGTAGAACAAATGCTTGCCTGGCAAATGCAAGGGCCTGAGTTCAATCCCTAATTAAAAAAAAAAAAAAAAAAGTCACTTTTAATGGAGCAAGAAAAATACTTTCAAACATCAGTTAAGTCACTTTGAATATCAGTAGGTCTACAAAATTTGTACCATTTTTTGTCTAGGCAGCCTAAGGTAGTATAAACCCACACATAAGGAACAAGTAGAAAAGAAGGAATAAGGAGGATGGGAAAAATAAAACAAGACTTAGAAAAAAAAAAAGATCAAAAAAGAAAGAATCAACAAGCAGTATATGATCAAGATGGGATTAGTGGTTTTGTTAAAAGATGATTTTTAAAAATATATAGACGTTTGAGGACTGGACAATGGGGAGTGGGCAAGGAGAAAAGCTGGGAAACATGACAGGGGCAAAGTCATGCATTTGTATGCACGAGATGGGTGGGGCAGTGATCCTGGGGCACATCAGCAAGTTTTTGAGACTAGTGGTTGGCTGGTGAGATTCACACCCTGACTAACTGTATATGCTGGTGCCCGTGAGCCAGGTGGCTGCACTAAGGATGGCGATGTGTAATAGAGGGGTCATGCTTGGAGTGCCTGCCACCCTGGTCTTCTAAATATGTACTTCTTGTCATGACATACCATTTATTGCCATAATGTCTCTCAAGTAAAGTTTTTTTTTAAAGGGTAATAAATGAAAAAAAAAAAAAAGACACAAGAATAAGAAAAAAAGGTTTACCCATAATGTGTGTGTATATATATATATATATATATGAGGCAGATAGATGAAAAAATGAAAAGAAATCAGATGAATAGCAAGTTTTATTTTTTAAGGAAAGTGTAAACTATTAAGCTTGATTGAAGTTTAAGGTTTAAGGAAAGTTGGTTAATTCATTTTTAGCTTAAGAAAAATACATAAGTTTACAAACAAGCAGTCAAAAAGTAGACAGAATAGGAGGAACAGAAAATGAGGGCATGCTGTTTGCCTCTGGGATGAAGAAAGTTCTAGAAGAGCCTGGAATGACAGGATCAAGACTACAGGAGAGAGGTCTGAGAAAATGGTGAAGTATGGAGAAAATGTGAGGTATATACCAACCACACTCAGGAAGGTTCAGACTGAATAGGGTCTTCCTAGTTAACTTGAAACCAAGTTATGTACTGAGAGTGAGGAATAAAAATGAAATGAGTTAGTTACATTGGTATTAAATTTAAAGTGGATAGTATGAATCAAACTTAAAACATGAATACAGTATTGCTTAACTGCAAAAACTAGTTACTTAAAAATTTTGGGTAAAAATGGCAAATTGAACACAATTCCATTTCCTCTCAATACTCTGTTTAAATAAATAGCAAACTGTACAAGAATAAAAAATTGGAAAAAGGTCATTTGCAGTAAGAGTTTGGAAGCTGAGAAGTTGATGCTGTTTAGTAACTGATTAATCTGTCAGATGGTTAGCAAGGTAGGCATAACCATAATTATATCATCTATAGGTATAAATTTCCTATGTTGAATGCTATCATTATGTACACCTAAAAATGTATCACTTAAACTTAAAATAAAACTTAAAAAATTAGAAAGCCAACCTATGATACAAATAATAACAGCTTAAGAAAATAACAAAAAAAAAAAAAAAAGAAAAAATACATTTCATTGGACTTAATAATATTTATGGTGGATAAAAAAAAATCCACTGAATAGTTTTCACAGTGAATAAAAACAGACTCAGAAAAGCCCATCATTGGGGCCAGGGAGATGGCTCAGTGGAATAAGCGCTTCCCTGGCAAGCACAAGGGCCTGAGTTCAAGCCCCGGTTCCGCCAAAAAAAAAAAAAAAAAGAAAAGAAAAAAGAAAAGCCCATCATCATAAGACTTTAGCACAGTGGGGACAAAGAAATGATGTTATAAGTTTCTAAGGATAAAAAGAAAGACTTAACAAAATCAAAATAAAATGAAAAACTTGAATTATATTGGATTTCTCAACAATATCAATGATTTTTAAGGTCTTTATACCCAAAATAAATAATAACAAATGCTAGTGAAGATGCAGGAGAAAAGGAACCCTTCTACAGTATAGGTGGACTTATAAACTACAAATACTATGGAAATAAATATGGAGAGTCCTCAAAATACTAATAGAAATTCCATTTGATTCAGTTAGTATGTTTTTAGAATCTTTTTCTCAAAAGAGTTTGAAAATGCATAGCTCAGTGGATTAAAGCACCTGCTTAGGCAGATGCAGGGGCTGAGAGTTCGATCCCCAGGCCTGCTGTGCCAGCTTGGCTGCTGGGGGGCACTGAGATGGCGATTGAGAAGGCACGGTGGTGTGCACGTGTAATCCCAGCACTTGGGAGGTTGAAAACAGAAGAATCACTACAAGTCCAATCTACACAGTGAGACCCTATACACCCTGTACTAAATACAAAAGGAAGAAAGAAAGTATGAAAGAAAGTATGAAAGAAAGAAAGAAAGAAAGAAAGAAAGAAAGAAAGAAAGAAAGAAAATGCATATCCTTGTTTATAGCAGCACAATAGTTAAATCACAGAGTTGGCCTAAACATTCACTAACAGAGGAAGGGATTAAAAAATGTATTCATACAAATGAAGTACTATGCCATAAAGAAGGGTAAACATAAATTATTTGCAGGAAAATGGATGGACCTTGAAACCATAATGTTAAGTATAATCACTCAAACATACACGTTAAATATCAGATAGTTTCTCTTATATGAAAACTCTAAAATAAAAAGGAAGAGCAAAATAAAAGATAGACAATAGAAAATAAGAAGACAGGTCTTCAGCAGATGAGAGGAGGACCAAAGTGATAAAGGGAGTGGGGAGGAGAAGTAATGGAACAGGAATTAAGATATGTTACATACATACACTAATTCTCCACAAGGAATGTAATCACTATGTACTGCCAACATGTACTAATAAAGAACGTAAATTAAGAAAAAAGAAGTAATCTAATTCTCATCTAATAGGGTATCTAACTTACTGTCACAACTTAAGGAGCTCTTAATTAAAATGTGGAGAAATTAGAATAAATATTTTTCACTAGACTGAAAAATGTGAAAAACTGTTCTATAAATCATAAGAATTTTATATCTAGTGAAATTAAAAATCAGGTATAAAGAACAGATATTTTTCAATACAGTTTATAAGTGATTCAAATAATTTATCTCCAATGTACTCCTTCAGAGGCTACTGAAGAATGTGCTCCAGCAAAACAAGAAAGTAAACAAAGGAAACAGTGTCAAGGGAAGAGCCAATTCAGCACAAGAGACAGAAAGAAAATCTCTGGAGTGAGAGCTGTGCAGCAGACTTAACCAGCAATGCTCTCCACAGGACAGCACAGAAGATTAAGGGGAAAATTAACATAATGGGTAGTGTTTAAAGCTCACAAGAGATTAAATAACTAGGGAAAACTGAGGATAAGTTAGTGGAGGGCACACAGACAGCTAGACAGAGGCAGAAGGAACAAAAAGAAGACAGAAAGGAGTAAGAGTTAGGGGAAGAAGGAGAAGTGGCAGCCGCAGCACATTCTCAAGTGGCTGCTTCTTAGCATGAACCAACTGTAAGGAAAATGAGCTGTGGAAGAAAGCAAGCATGGCCAAGGGGTACTAAGGTACAGTTAGAAAGAAAACATCCTGCTATGCTACTGTTGCACAGTAAGATGACTACAGTGATGAAAAAATGTATATAAAAGCTGTGAGAAAGGATTTTGAGTGTTTTTATCAGAAACGACAAGTATTTGAGAAGTTGGACATGTGTATCCTGAATTAAGGATTACGCAATATACTGAAATACATTGTGGTAAAAAAAAAATCCACAGTATGTCACATAGGTTGCCTGGAAGTATTTTATACATAGTTCTACTAATAATCAAATAAATACTGGTCAAGCCAAAATTAGCATGTTTCTGAAAAAAATTGTAAAACTGAATAACTTTGAAGGAAGGATAGAATAGGGGGAAAAGTACATATGTAAAGCTAGGAAATGGCTAAAATTTTATTTTACATATTAAGAAATCAAATGAAGGACAGGGGAGATAGCTCAGTAGAGTAAGTGCTTGCTTGGCAAACACAAGGGCCCGAGTTCAATCCCCGGTTCCTAAAAAAAAAGAAAAGAAAAGAAATCAAATGATGACAGCTAAGATTACAAAGCAAGCAGTAATGAAAACTAAGAAGCCTTCTAAGCACCATGTTAAAGGATTTGGAAAATGATACTAAAAATATAGCCTTTCAAAAGAATAGAAAGTGGCTGCTAACTAGTGACTAAGGGTGGGAGACTGTTGTTTTTTAGAATGGCTGTTTCTATTTGTTAAACTCCACTATGTAGTTTTGGTAATAATTTTTTTTTTAAATAAGAGCATTTCAAAATTGAAAAATATCAATTTAAAATTCATGTTTATGATTGTAAAGTCATAAGATTAATTCTCCAAGCTACATTTTGCATGCCTAAATTTTCTACAGAACAGAAGTTTATCATACAATGAGACTGGAACCTATTAAGAACTTTAGGCTTGGATCTCTGTACCTCACAAAGTAGAAATGAAGCCCTCTTAAAAGTAGAGCTATAAATTCCAGATAAGTTGTCATGGGAACTGAACCACTTTAAGAAAGTACATGTTTGCCTAAAGAGCTATATTTACTGTAATAAGCCTTTAAAAAAGTACATGTCAAGTAGGAATACTTTTAAGGTACATTCATTATTTTCTAGTCTGATTTATACACTCCATGATCACTATACCCCTAGTTTCAGATGCATTCTTCCTCCTCTTTCCAAGTGAGCTACTTCTTTCTGCCAGAGTCCTCTCCACTGATTTTGT